TACATATTGTTCATTTTTTTATTGTGATAATTCAGTTTCTTAACCTCAATTTAACTCTGTTCAGTGAGGATCGAAACCGGTTAGCTAGCCTGGTTTTCAGTTTTACTTTTTATCTATTATCATCATGAGTGGTAATAAAAATAATTTTTGTCTTTTTATGTCAGTTATAAAGTTTTGTACCACAAAACATATCTTTACACACACACACACACACACACACACACACACACACACACACATATATATAGTTATTTTCTAAGCGTAGCTCAGATGTGGCACAAGGCCTAACGTAAGGGACACCTAGTGAGGATGGAACTAATTTTTCAGTCGTAACTGATCTAGCGAGACAAGCTTGCTAACCATTACACCACGACGAGGTGCCCTTTTTTTCCCAAGCGTAGCTCAGATATGGCACGAGGCCAAAGTATGGGACACCCAGTGAGGATTGAACTCACTACTCAGTCATAATTGTGCTAGCAAGACAAACTTGCTAACCACTACACACTAACAACTATATATATATATATATATATATATATATATATATATATATATATATATATATATATATAAATATATATATATATATATATATATATATATATATATATATAAAACAATTGTTCAGAAGCTGCAAAGAGGAACAATCGTTTTATTTATTCATTAAGAATTTGCAAAGAGGAACGATCAATTTTTTTTTTTTTTTCATACCCTGCCTGGTGGCAAATGCTGCTGGTGGCGCCTGGGTGGCGGTCCCCGCCATAGCCACCGAAACCGTGAGATCACCCCTGGTCGGCGGCTGATGAAGTCAGGGTATCGCACGTGCTAACACACGTTGTATGTTAAAATTAATATATATATATATATATATATATATATATATATATATATATATATTGCAAATTTTAAGCTGTAAGAAACCATTGCGACAAGGACTGAGGGTTGAATTTTGTTTCAGGAGACAGCATTTAAAAGATCTATAAAATAGCGAAAATGCGTATAAAATAATTATAATATGTATAACACATTTAATATATTCGTTCCTGGTTCTGTCAAGGGCTGTGAAATCGTTCAACACGTCACTTTGAAGATCACGATAGCGATCACGAGTCCCGTAAGCGATTAGGGACACAAAATGTACTGCATCTGTATCAGCGGTGGTGTGTCTTGGGCAAGAGAGACTGACGAGTTCCAGCCTTCTTTGGACTGTTTGAATTCATTTTCCGTTTTCCTTCTCCTAGACTGATTGCCAGCCAAGGCTGTACAACGCAGTCAGATTTGCTGTTTATACATAGCTGGTGGTGGAGAGAAGCGACGGCTTCCTATCTTTCTGAAGAGTATCTGAACGTAAGTGAATGTAACGAGCTCGACTGGAATTCGAACTCGGCTCTCCGATTTTCCAGTCCGAGCCGCTATCATTACACTTTTAAGATACACATCTATTCAGATTGGAAAATGTAACATTCCAATAAATACTGGGATGGAGCTAACAAGCTTATGTTCTACGACACAGACAGCATTTAGTTATTAGATTGGTGCAAAAATAATGTCGTAATAATGTCGTTTTTTGACGTTACGTAAAAAAACGACATTATTACGTCATTATTTTTGCACCAACCTAATAATAGTTGAGAAGGTCAAATGTACTCGAACAAAAACGGGAAATTTGGAGAGATTATCCACAATTTTAATTCGTATGTTCAACGACATATCTTACTTTTTTAATACACGCTGCTACGCAAGAGTACTCTGATATTTAACGTATACCGAGAGAATAAATGGTGGTATGTCTTTGCCGGAGGGAATTAGTGTGAAAATGTACATAACATACGAGGCCGGATCTCGAAAAGGAGCTTGGGGATTCCACTTTCTGCGTTGATAACCATTACGGAACCGGGGCATCATGATATAAACTACTAAATCATAATAAGTTGTGGAAGTGGACAAGCTTTCAAATATTAAAACAAGCCAAACTTCCTTGAATGAGTCCATATTTCTTTGCAACCAGGTGAACAATGCGTCTCTGAACATTCGGACAGGGATCTATAGCAATTATATTCGAACAAGATGATCGGACATGCACGTACAAAGTGACTTGGCCAATCAAAAAGCTGATCAATTGTCACATGATTCAAAGAAGGATTTCGAGCAAAAACAGCTTTAAGCTGAGCGCTAATGCAAAAGACGCTGCACGAAACTTTTCTCCGAACTAAGCAAACGAAACGAGAGGAAACGATGCGAATGAAAATTCTCAAGAAGAGAAAACAATTCCGGGAGGTCGAGACGAGTGAATGCACTTCGGTTTCCCATTGACGATGTTCAACGGAAAAATCTGGCGGCCATCTTTAATGGCAGCGGTTGTCGTCTGCTTTACTCTTTTTCTAATTGCAGCATTCAGGCCAAGAGAATTCACGACAGTTGCCACATACAGAGTCGCAAATAGATTCTTTTCAGTTGGTAGGCATTGAAAAATCCTCTACGCTGGTCAATAGCGGCAAATTAAAGATAAGATACAAAACGGGGAAGGAAATGATAGATACAGATTAGAGGATGAAAGAGTGACGAATTAATTGCTTTGGTGATCAATAGATCATCGACAATTGATTAGGTAGACCCGAAGCTAGATTAGGTGATATATAGATAAAATTATACGTAGATACATAAAATCTTGCGTGTACATAAATTACGGTCTATGGATGTTAAAAGCTACAAGACAGGTAAGCATCGTTATAACATTTTGATATTTACTAAGCAACTATTCAAAAGACTTGTATCAGAATCAGGCAATCATCAATAAAGGCATATCAACTTTGAATTTAAAAAAACATGTTTCATTATTGTCATATCGTCGAATTTCTCTTACATTCAATATCTGTAGTTTTTACTTTCTCCGCTGCGAGGAAGTGTTGGTAAATTTTATTTTCAGTTGCAGAGATGCTCTGTCAACTGTGTATCGGCTTTATAACTGGTTAATTTCAGTTTCCATTTTCAACGCTGAAAAACTAAAACATCTACGGATTTCCGAAACTTATCACGTTTGTTTTGTTAAAAGAAAATATTGCATTTTTGACTTTCTGAAATAACTAAGAATATTTATTGATTTCATACTAAATTTCACTCCATACAAGGCTCAGTGGGTTACTGTTAAAATGTTTATGGTGAATGAGATGCGTGATATGGATGAAAGAGGAGCTGATAAGAACTGAATATTATTAGGATAAGAAGTAGATAGATAACGGTTGGTCCTTGACTTGAAGAAGTTAAGAGTGTAGTGATTGGGAAAGCAACCTCTTGGGATAAAAAGTATCTTTTCTTTGGAAGAAGTTCTCTGAATGAAATCGTTGGAATACAGAAGAAATGAGGGTGATTCGACTCTGTGGAATCAGCATGGCGTACTCTAATTGTAAAAGAATAAACTTGTGGAACTAAAGAGTGGACCATATCAGTACATTGATGGAGAGGAATCTTTTTTTTTCTTAGACCTTAAAGTATAAGTATTTTCGTTTAAATGATGCCTCGATATTTACTAAATTTGGCTGTGCACAACATAAGTTTAAAAAAAAAATGAAAATAGGAACGTGTTTCGCCAATCTATCTTGTTGGATAAAGCCTGCCTCCATTAAAAACCAACATTCCACGCCGTGGCATCTACGGTAGGTAATGGTAAAAAACAGATAGCGATTTTAAACACAATGTTAATGATAGCGGTAAAATTAATACTAATGCTAATGGTAAAATGAGACTTTTCTATACAGAAAACATTTGACATACATTGACTGGAGAGTTAGTGTTACTGTCAGTTGAAATTTATAAAATCTTTTTGTTAAAACAGTTTTTTAAGAAATTAAACTTCTCAAGTTCACTAATTGTATGGCTTGGTTTATTTTGTTTTATGGCATATCAACCTCAATAGGTTATTTAATGCCAACAAGATTTTTAGGATAGGTTCGGATGAATAGAATATGTATTCTTTGTAAGAAATCAGTTTGTAGATTTTCATTGACGTATTTTTGCAAAGAGGTTTTTTTGTCGAGAGTCAAATGTATTGCTGGTAATATTTTTTTTCAAAAAGGTATTGCTGGTATTTTTGCTATAAAAATATTTTTATACTTCCATAGTGTTTGGGGGTTAACTATTTGCGCATGGCTGGGGCCCTAATAGGTGCTACCAGCCCGGGTCAAGGTGGACCTAGGAACAACAGCAATTAAGAGGGAGTTTTACGCTCCTCAAAACCTCCTGATCAGAGGCTTCGCTGTCAGATGTAGTTCACTAATTATTATCTTTATTTATAATACTGATAGGAGTTTCCTTTCTACCTTTTTGTTTAATGTAGTCTGGAAAGTCAACACAATTTTTAAAATTATTTTGAAGATCAACGTTCAGAACGAGCTTCATTTCACGATTTGATAGGAATGATTAGCTCAAATCAAACAATCATCCTGTAACACCGTAGCCCTGAAGCTTGCGTAGAAGACCAGGCGTGACAAAACCCTGTCAACGCCTACGAGATACATAGGGCCACAGCTCGAGTTTCTTTGCTCGCACTTATCACCTGTGGAACTCCCTTCCGTTTACCTGACAACTACAACCTCCTAAAATTTAAATGCAACGCTCTTTGGCTGGGGTGGGGGGCTAACACCTGTTAGGGTCCCAGCAAAGGACAAATAATAAACTCTGCTAAAAAAAGCAAAGCCCTATGAAATTACAAAAAAAACAGAAGTATATTTTTCTATAAAAAAATACCGACAACATCTATTTATAGTAAAATGACCAGCAATACATTTTATCTGTAGTTGAAGGCATAAAATTGCGTTCAAAATATTTTGATTTCGGCATTAAATAGCCAACAGAGGTGTTAATATGCTGCTAAACAAAACCAACCAATCAACATCGCTCTTTGGGTGCCTATCAAAGGTCGAAGCTTAGCGAACTCGTCAGACGAATTAAAAACAACAACAACAAAAATGACAAAAACAAAGTAAAGCCAGCGTCGAAACTGTATGAGCAAGCGACCGAGTGAATTGGTGTTGGTCGCCAGCAATCGTATTTTTTTTTTACATCTCAAAGGCGAAAAAGAGTAATGAACCTATCAATACATTACGATCGCAAAATTATCGGTTGGCGAGCTAGAGTTTTGGACAAAGACTGACCATTGCGAGAAATCGGCATTTGACCGCTGGTGGTCAGTAAGACGAGGCAAATGTTACTACAAAGTAGAATATGCTTGGCCAAGCGCAAAGGTGACGGTGAAATTTAATAGGCTGAGAAGAAGAGGAGAGAAAAAAGTAGTCAATCCGTGTCGGACATTGATCGAACTGTTGGCGGACCAGGAAAACGTCTTAGCTGATCTATCTATCTATCTATCTATCTATCTATCTATGTCCATATCTATCTATCAGTCTGATCGTATCTATCTATCTATCTATCTATCTATCTATCTATCTATCAGTCTGATCGTATCTATCTATCTATCTATCTATCTATCTATCTATCTATCTATCTATCTATCTATCTATCTGATCGTATCTATCTATGACAGTCTGTCCACATCTATCTATCTATCTATCTATCTATCTATCTATCTATCTATCTATCTATCTATGTCCATATCTATCTATCAGTCTGATCGTATTCATCTATTCATTCATTCATCTATCTATCTATTCATCTATCTATCTATCTATCTATCTATGTCCATATCTATCTATCAGTCTGATCGTATTTATCTATCTATCTATCTATCTATCTATCTATCTATCTATCTTTCAGTCTGATCGTATCTATTCATTCATCTATCTATCTATCTATCTATCTATCTATCTATCTATCTATCTATCTATCTATCTGATCGTATCTATCTATGACAGTCTGTCCACATCTATTCATCTATCTATCTATCTATCTATCTATCTATCTATCTATCTATCATCTATGTCCATATCTATCTATCAGTCTGATCTATCTATCTATTATCTATCTATCTATTCTATCTATCTATCTATCTATCTATCTATCTATCTATCTATCAGTCTGATCGTATCTATCTATCTATCTATCTATCTATCTATCTATCTATCTATCATATCTATCTATCTATCTGATCGTATCTATTCATGACAGTCTGTTCACATCTATCTATCTATCTATCTATCTATCTATCTATCTATCTATCTATCTATCTATCTATCTATTTCAGTCTGTTCCGATCTACCTGATCGCCATCGTATTGATCTTTTGCAAATAAGGATTTTGAAATGTTAAAGATGCTCACAACTGCTCTAACCCTTGTCAAATTAATATCCAACTCAGGGGAAATATTAGCGGTTATAGGGTCCGTCTTACATAGGAATCCTTGCATGATCTGCGCATATTTTAAACAGACGCTATTTTCCATTTCATTGCGACATGACAAGAATATCGCTGAGTTGCGAATGGATTGAAGGATAAAATGAATTGTAGTCTGAAGAAATGGATAAACATTTGCTAAGAATTCGCACCTGCTGCAAGCTATTTAGATTTCTCCCTCCCTGTCTTTCTGATTGACATCTTTTTTCTCTTGTCTCACACTTCATCCTTTTTCCCCCCTCTCCTCTCGTTTACCTCTATAGTTTTAGTAATTATTTTAGTTCTTTTACTTTGTACATCTCACTAAATTCTATTTCTTCACAAACTTATTAGGAAATTTCAACAACAGTCTTAGTTTTAATGGAGCTTTGACTTGCAAGAATAGTAAATGTTGCTTGGGTGGAGATATAAAATATAAAAATCATATCAATCAAGTTAATACAATAAAATGGCTCAAGAAAGAGTACAAAAATTATGACGCGACTGGGTAGGAACGGCAATTCACTAGGAACTGTAAAAAAAGAAAAAGGCCAGAAATTGACTATATTAAAAAAAACATTGATATATGCAGAAAATGAGAGCCGAAATAAAACTCTATGGGATTTTGACGTTCAAATCGATCATTTAATCTGGGTCAGGAGACTAGATCTCGTCGGTGTAAAAGAGGTAGTGATTTGTCAAATCATGGAAACTGTCGCTCCTGTTGGCCGTTGAGTGGGACGAAAATGAAAGAGATTAAAAAGCTGCTAGAAAAGAGAAAACAGCAACAACAACAACAAAAAAAAAAAACGTGAACTATTATGTAGGCGAAAATTGTACGTATCAATAAGATAGTATTTGGAACAATTCCGAAGAGCTTTGCATTCAAAGAATTGAAAATACAAGGAATAATCAACGCCACCCAGACAGTAGTCTTACTGAAGTCAGCAAGATCACTGAGGACAGAATTGGCGATTCGAGGAGACTTGAACTCTAGTGAAAATTGCCTTTTACTGATGATCCGAATATTCAATTGGTTTGGTTTGGTTTGGTTTGGTTTGGTTTACGGCTTATCAACCTCAATGGGTTATTTAATGCCGACAAGATTTTTATTGCTGGTAATGTTTTTTTTTTCAAAAATGTATTGATGGTAATAATTTTTTTCCAAAAATATACTGCTGGTATTAAAACATATTTTTACACGTTCATAGTGTTTTGACTCGAGTTTGGGAGTTAACTATTTACTTATAGCTGGGACCATAGCGGGTGCTACCACCCCGGGTCAGCGTGGACCTGGGAACACCAGCTATTAAGAGGTGGTTCCACGCTTCTCAAAACCTTCTGATTAGAGGCCTTGCTGCCGGATGTAGTTTATCGTTATACCAAGGACAGCGAATATTCAAGGAATATGAAATAATAAAAATACACCCCACCCACCAGAAACGCGAAATTCAGACGTTAGCATTATTAATCACGGGTATACTTAGGGGAGATTAGTTATTTGTTCCCGAAAAAAAAAATGTAACAGGGTCAATTTCTAGTGCAGTACTAGATTGGCGGTAAGGTCTCATCAATTCACAGTCCAATTGGCTAGATTTCACCGTAAGTTCTATGCTAATAGTTTCTTCTCTCGGAAATCTCCTTGGTGGAATATTCTTCCGTTTACATGCTTTCCAGTCAATTTTGATCTTCTGAAATGTAAATGCAATGCCAATCGTTATCTTCGTGATTACTCTTCTGTTGTTCTCGCTCCTTAATAATGTTTCTCTTTTTTTTAAATTCTTTCACATTCGGTAACCCGTTGTGTCTTAGTGGCTTTATTGCCTTGCATGGGGTGAAATGATTAAAAAAATGCCAATAATACACTACTCAAGATGGGGTGCAGAATTAATTTCAACTCGGAATTAAAATTTAATTTATCGATTTTCTTAAATTTTGATCGATAACGGCTTCTTTTGAACGAGAGTTTGTTTTTTTTTTTTTATAAAAAAACAAAACAACAGCTAAGCAATCTACTATTCTGGCTACAAAGAACATTGCATTTTTATTGGATCAGATTTAAATGAATAAAAGTAAATAAAATAATTTGCAACAAAAAAATGAATGGAAGTTGCAGAAAAGATGAATTCTGAATTCCGTTATTTACTAAGGATTTTTAATGCTAAATTAAAAAATAAACACCAATTTATTTCATTTTGATTAGGAATTCACGGAAATTGATAACTTTGATTTAAAATCGAGTTGAAATTAGTTCCGAGTTGAAATTAGTTCCGAGTTGAAATTAGTTCCGAGTTGAATTTAGTTCCAAGTTGAAATTAGTTCTGTCACTTCTCAAGATGTATCTATTGTTTTGCTTAAGAATAGTAAAAATAGCGTCCGGACTGTTTGGTTATCCAGGTTGTGGTTCACAAGTTAATTGTTTAACTATTTTGACCGATATCGGATATCAACTATTATATTATCATCAATACCGAAGCACCCCCATATGCGTAGCAAGAAATGATTTTCCATCCCCTTGAAATCCTCTGTCCGATCTCTCTCCAACGTTTAGCGTAAATGTCACGTGGCCTACTTGATCCTAACAACCTTAGTGCATTAGGGAGATGTTGCATGAAGAATAGATCCTTAGTTAACAAGCTGCAATTAATTTTTGGTTTTGGGTCACGAATGACCGGCAGATCCCGTTCTGGGTATGACGATAAACTACATCCAGCAGCAAGGCCTCGGATCTGGAAGATTTTAGGAGAGTAGTTGCTGTTGTTCTCAGGTCCACCATGACCTGGTGGTAGTACCTGTTAGGGTCCCAGCTATGGGCAAATAGTTGCCCCCCCAAACACGAGTCAAAACATGATGAAATTATATAAAGCTTTATAGTAAAAATACCAGCAATACGTTTTCATAGTAAAAAAAATTACCAGCAATGTTTTTTTTGTTGCGAAAAATAAAACATTTCCAGCAATACATTACTGGAAAGAAAACAAACAGAATCAAAAAATACATTTTTGCAATAGAAATTATTAATGCTCCTAAGAAAATTAAATTTCGACATTAAATGACCCATAAGGAGTTGTCATGGCCGCTAAACAAACAATCAGACAGGCAGATAAAATTTTATCATGACATTTAGATCTTGATAATCATAACCATTTGCTTTTGTTTTTTGTTGCTTAAGAACAACCATATTGGAACACCACAGATGTTAAGGAAAAATTTGTGTCATAGTTTATAGTGACGCCAGTATTAAAGATCAGTATTAAAAATCAATATTAAAGATTAAAAATCAATAGTAAAGGTCAATATTAAAAATCAATATTAAACATTAAAGATCAATAAACTGATCAAAATTGATGTTGTGACTCCATAAAATCCAAGTTTTAAAGCCTGATTTCAACAATTGATTTCAACAAAATTGAACGTGTATTAAATTATCAAAATTGATTAAAGATCAATATTAAAGAATAAAGATCAATAAATTGATCAAAATTGATGTTGTGACACCATAAAATCCGAACATTAAATTCTGGTTTTACAAAATTGATTTCAACAAAGTTGAACCTGTATTACTTGAATAAACGGAACCACATACAAATGTTGAAATAAAGATTTTATACACGCAATAATCCAGTGAAGAACAAAATATACATCATTCGAATTAATGTGGCCATTGGATTAAAGATGGCGACGTAAAGTAGATAGTTGGTCGTCTGCTCTTCTCAATTAAACATTGGCAGTTTTGTGGTGTGATATTCTGGTTTCTCTTTTCTTGCTTTTTGGGCTTCGGCTCCGTAAACCACCTGCACACTTTTGAGCAAATCATCGCAGCTTTCCGAATGTCGGCTTGACGATAGCTGGGGCTATAAATCGTTGGTGGACGAGTGGGTATGTGGTGAGGCCACAGCACGAAATCTCATAGCCACAAGTAACGTGACATCTTTATAGCTTTTAATTTCCATCGTGTCGTTGTTTGTCCAACTATTCGCCTGCCTACTCAATTTCAACATGTAGCGAGAAGGCTGGGAAAGAAAGAGAGAAAATGGTCATTTTGTTTCAAGTTTATACACATCATTCACTCTCTCAAGTATAATCAATCTATCTGTCACTTCTTGTTTATTAAATCTATCTATCTATCTATCTATCTATCGCAGTTTTTCCTATCTATTTCAAGCTATTCGTATCTATCTATCTCAGTTTTTCTTATCTATCTATCTATCTATCTATCTATCTATCTATCTATCTATCTATCGCAGTTTTTCCTATCTCAAGCTATTCGTATCTATCTATCTATCTATCTATCTATCTATCTATCTATCTCAGTTTTTCTTATCTATCTATCTATCTATCTATCTATCTATCTATCTATTTTCTTTCTCGATCTATCTATCTATCTATCTATCTATCTATCTATCTATCTATCTATCTATCGCAGTTTTTCCTATCTATCTCAAGCTATTCGTATCTATCTATCTATCTATCTCAGTTTTTCTTTATCTATCTATCTATCTATCTATCTATCTCAGTTTTTCTTATCTATCTATCTATCTATCTATCTATCTATCTATCTATGTCTGCCATTCTCTTTCTTGATCTATCTATCTATCTATCTTTTCATAGACAGATACAGAGGAAACACAGAGATTGATTGATAAGAACTGACTGAATTAGATATGAATAGATTGATAGATTGATTGATCTATAATGAACTGTATTGAAAGATTGCTCAAGATAGAAGGATGAAGAAAAAAGGTAAAAAGAGGCACCTGTTAATCACAAAGCATAGATTTCTATCACATAGATAGAGAATATTTGGCAAGACAAAATTTTAGGAAGGAAACTCCAATCAATACTGGAAAGGGCGATAACAGCTAGTGGACATGAGAAACTTATTTTCCTGAAGAATTTTTGAAGTAGAAAGATTACCATTACTATCGCCAAGTATATATTTATATCATATGGATAGATCAGATTTTTCAAGAGTCTATCTATCCCGGTCTATTTATATTCAAGTCTTGTAAACTGTCTTTTATCTGTAATCCTGGCTGTTTGAAATATTTGTATGTTTCCTTCAGGCATATGTATTCAGCCTTCGAGCCAAGAATTTCGAGTGTTGATATTTGGCAGCCAGAGATCCCACAGTCCCAGAAAACTGCTACATGACAATATGGGCAGTGCAGATGTGCCTTTTTGCTCCTGCTAGGGTCTGTCATTATCTTGCACGGATGTGGCAATGTTGGGTCTCATTATCAGTAGTTGTTACATAAATACCACATAACGTGTAATGAATGACTGTGTGTGGTATCTTGGATGATTTTTGAGGCCTGCCCTACTGGTTGGAACATTCGCTTACCGGTGATGAGATCTGTGTTCGAATCTTACCGTGGTCGATTTGTCAGGAAGGTGACAAATGTTATCGGTCTGGAGCGGGCGATCCCAGCATGCGGCAAGAGCCTGAAAAACCATACTACTCGTTGACCGACGCCTTTTTGACTGGAACTGGGTAAACGGTGCTATTCAATTCCCAAAATGGTTATGCTAGCTGGAACCGACGGTTTTTGCGTACTAACTGCTGATCTTAACAGATTATGCACTCTAGCCCCGCCCTAGAAACTGTAACTCGGGCCCGTTCAGGTTGAATTACCAGCTCCTGTACGATCACCGAAGTTAAGCAACGTCGAGCCTGGTCAGTACCTAGATGGGTGACCGCTTGTGAATACCAGGTGTTGTAAGTTTGGATATTCGGGGGTTGTGACTGGGAATTATTAATCGGAGAGCCGAGTTCCAATTCCATTTGGGTTCGTTATATCCACTTACGCGCAAATGCACTTGGGAAAGGTATGAATCTACCTCTTCTCGCCCACATCTATGGGTTAATTAGTAAGACTTGTATCACTAAACCATTTTTATCTTAAAAAAAAAAGTAAAAGAAAAAAGAAATACTTACAATCTAAAAATATTTTCTGGCTTTAAATAATCTGCAAAGTGTATGATAAGTGTATTTCGGGAGGCATTTAAGCTAACTATTCCTGCGCAAATACCTTTGGAAAGGGTATGAATCCACCTTATCTTCCCCCGGCTATGGGTTAATTAGTAAGACTTCTGTCACTAAAGCATTATTATCTCAAAAATTAATGAATAAAATTGCGTACAAATTTTTACATTACGACATTAAATAATCCATAGAAGTTTTTATGCCGCTAAGCAAAATCAACCAACCAACAACATTGAAGAACTCTGCTCTGAAAGATTTCGAATAATCCAAACAGCGACATTACTAAAATCAGCAAGAAGAGTGTTGGCAATTTTAGGAGACTTGATCTCTATTGAAAGCCGGCTTTTACTGATGATATGATTATTTAACGATTATAAATTATAAAAAAAGAAAAAAAATATCTTCAGGAGGTATTCTATCTATCTATCTATCTATCTATCTATCTATCTATCTTCTTTCAGTATTTTGAGGTTTGATACGATTATATTTGACACTCTCTCTTCCAAATTCTGGAAATCATTCCTTTTGCAATCATTCCAGTCTATCTGTCTAGCTAGTTAGCTATGTTAATCTATCTATCTATCTATCTATCTATCTATCTATCTATCTATCTATCTCAATCTGTTCATATATATCTGATCTTATGTAAATAAGGATTACGAAATATTAAAGATGCTCACAAATGTTGTACGCGTTGTCAAATTAATAAGAGATTTTAGGAGACTTGATCTCAATTGAAAGACGCCTCTTACTGATCATGCAACAGTTTAACTATTATAAAATAATAAAAATAGAAACAAAATTACTAATCCTGACGGTAGCATTATTAATATAAATTAGAATATTGAGAATAGGATTTTTTATTTCTTGCTAATAAAAATTAAATAAATAAATGAATAAATAAAAATATTAAAGTGATGCCGAATAGAATACTCTACCTTTGATGTATAATACGTAAAGAAACAAGAAAATACATAGGATCATATTATATGTGTGTATATGATGACGCCTTATAAATACGACAGTAGTGACAAAGCAGCTACATCCACAAATGTGTAGGTCTCCTAAAACTTTTTGCAAAGCCATCACGAACTATCTTTTTCTATGTGCCGTATCCCTTCAGAAATTTGGCGATCATGGCTCTCCACAATTTCCTGTCCTTTGTAGCGCAATAAATTTTGTGTTTTTGTTGTCTCTCCTAAACCCTGTTCCGCCATCCATTTACTCAGGCTCGCCAGGTTAGTTCGTGCGTGGCTTTCATCGTCCTCTCTTATCTTCAATCTGTCGTGTGAGCATCAAGTTTCGAAGCCCCCTTTCCTCATTAGGTGTCCCAGATATTCGAACTGTCTCTTCCTGGTGTTAAATATAAGTGTCCTTCCATTGTCTCTAGAACGACGTTGCTCACATATTTGCTCCATGGTATTCTCAACATCCTTCTGTTCAATATTTCTGTTACGTTATTCCTGCGTTGTAAGAGGATTGTCCAACATTCCCTGCTGGACCAACATTTCTCTTTTTCATCTTAAAAGTCTGAGTGAATCAATGAAATGCTGAATGAATAAAGGTTCCCCGATCACCAAGATCCAATTCATTTTTGGCATCTGGTCACGAATTACTGGTAGGGTATAATTTATCATTACACAGGAAGTTGATGAGCACATCCATAGTTTATTTTACGAAAAAGCCGGTCAGAAGAGGAGAGAATTACGGACGGCGTTATTATTAGTATTAAATAGAATACTGAGAAGCTAATGTTTAATTGCTTCTGTAAAAAGGAAGAATAAAATAAACAAAGCGTTACACAGGGTCATTTTTTTTTGGCGGGGGCGCAAGGTCACCGTGTACAATACGCTACCGAAGATGAATCTGATACTTAACAATAGTAAGAAAAATGACACATGAACATTTTAGATTTAGTGTGGGTAACCTCTATGCACACCCGATAGGGCACACGATTGAACGCATCATAATCAGGAACAAGATTAGGAATTGTGATTCATGGCCTCTCTACACCATAATGCCGAAGTTTGAGTCTTGAAAGAACAGAGTTTTGGAGATGTGATGCCACAGATAGATGTGGCACGCGTAAAAGACCATCACTTACAAAAAAAAAAAAAAAGGCAGAACCTGTTTTCATCATTGAATACGAAATGGCGGCATTCTGTCAGCCAAGTAACCCTCTTAGAATATCACAAGAGACATTCCCGTAGTCCTACTGCAGGTACACGATTTCCAACGGTTCGTTATTATACTATTGGGGGTACATGAAATCTGTTGTGGACGACGTCGATCTTTGCAAGCGTACGTACGAAATAACCATTCAGGATCTGGTATACGGGTTTATAAATTTTTTTAGTTCACCAAATTGCGCCAAATCGAAGCACTGATGAAACATCACGCATAAAATTTGTAGTAATTCCCAATCAACCCTCTCGAAATTACGAGTTCGAACGCTCTAAAATTGGTCCAATTAAACCAAAAGAGCACGCGTGTCTTTGTGACCTGCAAGCTGTGGACTCTTTCGCCACATTCTTTCACTGTCTAAATTTCAGTCACAGACGATGGACTGATATAGTTATTACAAGATTGCCGGAAATCTTTGTTAAACTAGCATGCACATGCATATACTGTATCTAGGAGAAGATTGTCACCGTCCTTCAGGCTGCTGACATTTTATTTTCTGCTAGAATATATATATATATATATATATATGGGATGCAAAAGTAGGTATACAGTAATGAAAAACAAAATGTTCGCACATATTGTATTGATTATACAAACATATCAATAATAAACATATCAATCCGTCAAATGTTAAAATTTGTGTCCGGAATTCATACATTCCACTATTATAATACTTGGAATACTTTTATAATACTTACTGTATACCCATTTTGAAGACTATATATATATATATATATATATATATATATATATATATATATATATATACCCAAGATCCTGATGTACAACCAGTTAGATCAGGGAATGTAGGACGCCCATGGCTAAGATACAAAGACAAGCTGAAAAGCAACTTGTCAGCTGTCAATATACCACATAATACTCTTGGGTGCTTAGCCTTGGAGCAGGTAGAATGGAGATCAACCTGTTTTAGTGGACTCAGCAATTTTCAATCTGCTTGTCTGAATCATCTTCAAGAATCGAGAACAAGATCTAAAAGGTCAGCCAATCTAACAGTGATCTCATCTCACAATCCTCACACTTGCTCCATATTTGGCCTCCTTTGTAAATCACTAGCGGGTCTTAAATGCCACTTAAGATTATCGCACAAAAATTGAATCAAGTAAGCTGTCAGATCCTCATACGTCGAAACCGACAGGAGAGTCCATTATATATATATATATATATATATATATATATATATATATATATATATTAATATATATTTAAATGTGTATTCATCGCGACAGAAAAATTAACATGGTAATTTCTGTGCTGCGATGAATAAATATTAAAAAAATAATTATAGCCTTATGCTCTATTGTGTATCGAGTACTGTTTTTAAAAATAAATTGAGAGCTCTGGAGTATAAATCTAACTGTTCATTGTTTTTATTTTGATATATGTTCACATACACACATAGGCACACACATAAACACAAACACACACACACATATATATATATATATGTATAAT